AAGTGCGTAGCAGAGTCGTGACGGGGGCCGACGCACGCCTGCCGGGGCCGGGAGGCGGCGGGCGGCCCGGGAAGTGGCGGAGACGCGGTGCCCGCCGAGCCGGGCTGAGCAGCAGAGCCAGGTCGCGGGACGGCGGCTTCACCATGAACCCCAGGGGCCTGTTCCAGGACTTCAACCCGAGTAAATTCCTCATCTACATCTGCCTGCTGCTCTTCTCGGTGCTGCTGCCCCTCCGCCTGGACGGCATCATCCAATGGAGCTACTGGGCCGTCTTCGCCCCCATCTGGCTGTGGAAGCTTCTGGTCATCATGGGCGCCTCGGTGGGCGCTGTGGTTTGGGCCCGAAACCCTCGCTACCGCACCGAGGGGGAGGCCTGCGTGGAGTTCAAAGCGATGTTGATCGCCGTGGGCATCCACCTGCTACTGCTCATGTTTGAAGTCCTGGTCTGCGACAGGGTGGAGAGGGGGACCCACTTCTGGCTGCTGGTCTTCATGCCGCTCTTCTTCGTATCGCCCGTGTCGGTGGCCGCGTGTGTCTGGGGCTTTCGACACGATCGGTCTCTGGAGCTGGAGATCTTGTGCTCCGTCAACATCCTGCAGTTCATTTTCATCGCCCTGAGGCTGGACAGGATTATCCACTGGCCGTGGCTGGTGGTGTTCGTGCCGCTGTGGATCCTCATGTCGTTCCTCTGTCTGGTGGTCCTCTATTACATCGTCTGGTCCCTCCTGTTCCTCCGCTCCATGGATGTGGTGGCGGAACAGCGAAGAACACACGTCACCATGGCCATCAGCTGGATAATGATCGTGGTGCCCCTGCTTACATTTGAGGTGCTGCTGGTTCACAGACTGGATGGCCACAATACGTTCTCTTACATCTCCGTATTTGTTCCCCTTTGGCTTTCGCTAATAACTTTGATGGCCACAACATTTCGGCGCAAGGGGGGGAACCATTGGTGGTTTGGGATTCGCAGAGATTTTTGTCAGTTTCTGCTGGAAATTTTCCCGTTTTTAAGAGAATATGGGAACATATCATACGATCTACATCATGAAGATAGTGAAGACGCTGAAGAAACGTCGGTTCCGGAAGCTCCAAAAATTGCTCCAATGTTTGGAAAGAAGGCCAGGGTCGTTATAACCCAGAGCCCTGGAAAATTTGTTCCCCCACCTCCCAAGTTAAATATTGACATGCCAGACTAAATAAACTTCTGGAAAGCACCTGTAAGTGGAATGGAAACCATATACACCCAGCACACAAAATTCACCTGTCATTTTTGATTCGTTGTTCATCATTCCATAGCAGGAACTGAAAACACCATCCTCTCATGCCTTGTTTGAGATTGATGCCTATCAGTGACTTGTCAGTATGCACCTTAGATATAGATGTGGGGGGTTATTTTAATATATGTCCGTGTGTGTGTGTGTGTGTGCGCGCATTGTAAGTGTGTGAGAGATCTTGCTTTCAAGGCTGGGAGCAGTAAGTTGAATTGTTTTTGGAATCCTCAGATGGAATAACTACACTGCTGGGTTGCTGGTTTTGTTTTGTCTTTAGTGATACTATTTCAGAAGTTTTGTTTTTAAAAGTATTTTTATACACTGCTAGTGTAAAGTTGTATTTCAGACTGTGCATGTTGTGACATGCTCCATAGCAAATGTAAATTCTCTTTCCCACCACTTGTTCATAAATCTTAGTTGTTATTTTTAGTGTTCCTACTGTTCAGGTAGTTTTCTTTGAGTATTGCTGATACTGGTTTTTAATACACTGATAGGTGAATTTTCTAATGCAGTGAATTCATGCATATATGATATTTATATGAATATTTTAGTGGTGTAATATATAATGTCGGATTCTAGTTCTATGCAGTACTATGTATTGTGTTAAAGTATTTTTTTAAGTTTCTATGTGAAGATCTATGTCAACTGCAGATGTCCTTAAAGATTACTTAAAACATTAATATGTACTTGGTGTGAGATTTTATCAAAGTACTAGACATGGATACAGAGGTTAAAAATCCCCTGGGTCTTAATATTTGGGAGAGGAGACAGCACAGCTCTAAGGTCTCCTTGTCGAGGCAGGAGCCACCACCAGACTTGGTGGACAGGTAGCATGCTGCAGGCCAGTACCAGGTAACAAAGTGACATGTCAGCACTTTGAGTTTGTCCACACAGGCAGTAATATCATCAGGAACAACCAACATCAGCAACAGGTGGTCTGTCCGTTTCGGAGAACTGAGAACATTAGTTATTAGTTAGCCATCGCATAATTCGTTGCTTCTGCTGTTCAGCAGGAGAGGGTGGGCCTTCATCTAAAATGGCCAACAGACCTTAATGTCCAAACCTTTTGAACTCTCAGTAATGGAAATTGTAGTTCAGGTAGTTACTAAATTAGTGTTTTAGTAGGTGTCAGGGGCCCACCATTGAAACAGAAGGCCAGCATTACTGGGAGACTATTCTTCTGGCAAATAAATACTTTTGAAGGAGGTTAAAATCGAAAGGAGTACTGCTGTTATTACTCAAGAAAAGGCTGAAGGGAATCCATGTTTAGTGGTAGCAATGTTTAAAAAATTAAGTTGGGCTTCATATGAAATAATTTACCTGATGAGGGGCATGCTGGCAGGAAATGCCAGCCGTAGGAGCCAGCCTGACAGCCTCAGGGTGCAGTAGCACGCTGGCTCAGGCACATGCTCCCTCTCCCCCGCCCGCCTCACCCACACACAGTTCATCCACACCAGCCATCGGATCATGGGAAGCAGCCATGAGCAACAGCGACTGCAATATCTCATAAGCAAGGACTCATTCATTTGTTTTCTCTTTCAAATACTACGTACTCTGAACCAGCCAGCCCGCATACACTGCACACAGTGGAAGGGACACTGGGAAGATAGTGCCCATTGTGGCACCGCCCTGTGGGAGGGCACCAGCCCCAAGCAGGGGATGCCAAACCGAATAGATGCTGCTCATTTCAAGGCAACCTTCGCCTGGAACTTCAGGTTTCTCTGTTGAAGAGCCCACTGCCTGTTAATGGCCCCAAAAGAGTAGCTCAAACAGTGACTTCACATGTGCCCACAATTTAGGAGTGGAGGTGCAGGTTGTTGGAGGAATTGCAAAGCAGGTGAGGGGACGGGTGGGATTGCCAATCCCTACAAGCTGCAGTTTCAGACAAGGGGGCTTGTTGGCACTTGGTTGAATCCTCCTAACGTGATGGCCCCCTCCCACTCCAATCCAATCTACCTCCTTTGCCTCAGGCTGTCCTGGTGTTTGGAATCCGGGTCTGAGCGCGTTGATGAGCTCTCTTACCCAGGTAGGCATCCCGTCAGTCAGACATCTGCTTCTGGACCATCAGATAAAAACGGCAGGAATGGCAGGCTGCAGAAAGTTGTTTCATCCATAAAAGTTCTCAGCTGTGTCAGATTTACCTAATTACTATGCTGCTCTCGCTTCCATGTTTAAAGTGTCAAATTTGGTGACACTGTAGTTGCTCTGTATGATGGTATAGTCAGCATTTGCTGCAAAACCACTTTGGAAATCTCAGTGGCCTACAACTACAAATTCTCACTCTCAGGTTTCCATGCTGGTTATGGCTGTGACATGACGTCATGGCCATAGTTCTGCTCCAGGTCTGCTCCACAGGCACCCTTATTCTATTCTGGGTCGTAGGTGAAGGAGCCGCATTCCTGGGAACATGTTCCTCTTGCTTATGGTAGAAGCCCAAGAGGCCAAGCCAAACCCTGGAAGCACAAGAATAGACCCTGTTCACAGGTAATTCCTGTGTACCTGTTCTTTCTGACCAAAGCACAAGCCATGCCCACCTCCATGTGGCACCCTCACACTTGAGGAATGAGAACACAGGCCACACAGATGTTACAGGGTAGTGTCAAAGGCTGGAAAGGAATCACCAGATTGGTGGCAGGTCATGAATAATTTTTACCCTCTACAAACAATTCTGTAATTTTTAAAAGTTAGTTGTTTAACACTGTAATGATAATGAAAGCAAGCTGTTGGGATTTTGAGGGCAGTAGGAAGACCCTGCAACCAGACTCCTCTGGAAACTGGAGGCTGGACACAGGCCAGTTTTACGACAGGGCATCTGCAGTGACAGGGTGTCAGGGTATTTGTGGAATCGACAGGTCAAGCCTGGGCATGGGGAGACTAGCTCAGTAGGAGGGAAAAAAGGAAGGAGCAGAAGAGGGAAGGTGAAGCAAGAGGCAGGTGCTCCTGCTCCCTGGCAACCTTCTGAGTTTTGCATGGAAAATACGGGAGAGAACAAGTAGCCCAGCCTGGATCTAGATCAGCAAGCACACTGGATCTAGTGAAGTTGTTGGAAACCCAGGCCAGCTCACATCTCAGGACCGTCTGCTAGGGATATTGCAGCTGGGCCACATGCCACTGCCACCAGAACAGTAAAATGCCATCAGTGTCACCCCCACTGCCAAAGGATCCTGACTGCCATAAACCAGGATGAAAGGAGGAACAAGATGTATGCATTCATTCTGCAGTTTCCAGAGCATGAGAGATGTTATATCTGGATCCTCTCGCTCTGGTAGGATGTAGGATTCTGCCAGAACTCACATTAGAGGATTTGTCCCTAAAGGGCGTTCAGATGGTGGTCAGCAAAGGCGATCATAAAAGTGCAGGACAAAGCCCCCCTTGCTGTCAGATACCACTCTGCTACTCACTGTGACTTCACATACACCCCACCAAGTCCACCACCATGGCCTGGTCCCTTCTGGAAGGAAAAGGAAGACTGTCCACCAAAGCTTAATCATTACTTCACCCAACTCTTACTCTAGGCTACTTGGTGATGTTGCCTGCTCTATCTCAGGGTTGTCTCCAAATATTCTAGAATGAGTGCATTAAAGGAAACGCCAGCCTGTCCTGCAAAGTGCCACCCTAGAACTCCTGGAGAGCCATGAGAGCCTCCCTTCCCCAACCACACTGCTGGGGGAAACCCCCTTTCTCCATATCCTTCATCAGTGCTGCAGCAGAGGTGCGGAAGCTGACGTGAGCATGCGGCTGCCTTCTACCAAGCCAGGCAACAAATATCTGCAAAGGTGAAAAAATAATGCCACCCTTTTCATCCATTTTTTAAATGCGTTTATTTTGGAAAATATGGGTACTTTTCATTTAAAAATGTTAACAGGAGTCTATTGTTTCCAAATAAATTCTTCTTAGTTTTTGGCTTTGGTTTCTACCATGGCAAATGTTGCTCTAGCTGACAAACCAATGCTTCTTGGGGTGTTTGATAACTTTGGAGAGTATTAAAGGGGTCTTATGACCAAGAAATTGAGAACTGCTGCCCTAGGTTATAGCTGGGGCGGGGGTGGGGGGAGGAATTGAAATCGGGTGACATATACTAACGTCCATGTGACATAGCAGGGAAGGAGAAATAACAGGCAATGTCTTGTCTGCATGAGGTCCCAAGATGTCCTTACAGCCCCTGGACATGGCATTGCTTAACCCCTGGGGTAACTCACACCTTCATTCAGTGGGTGCCTGAGCCCTTTGCTGGTCTTGCTGGTGTGCTTCCTTTAGTTTCGGCTACTGCTGAGAGCTGGAGGGGCCTCTCCTGGGCCCTGGGCCTCAGCCTCTGTTTTGTGGGAGCATCACAATGTCCCCAGTAGTGTGGCACCCTGACTAGTGGGGGGAGAGGGGAAGGAAGGGGAGAGGATGGGGGGAGGGAGCATTGGGATGGACAATGACACCCCAGAGCTCACAGGCCACCTCTCTTTGCAGGATGTCCTGTTTGTTTAACAGCTCTACATCAGGGTGGGGGAGGGAAGTAGGTTTTGAAACTTTACCACAGCACTCACTCCTCTCCCTGCCCTCTGCTAGCCCCTCCCCTGTGTGCACCCAGCCACAGCCAGATGCCCAGGCCCCATGCTCTTCCCCACATCCACACAGCTGTGCAGAACCTAGGGTCACGGGGTCCTTTTTATCCCCCCTGACCCCGGTATGTGTTCTCACAGCCTCCACAGGGCCCTGCTCTCCTGGACAAGGGCCTCCTTCACCCCTGAGTGTCATCAATCCTCCTTCCCCTTGTCATACTCTGGCCCCTCTGGCCTCACCTCAGCCCAAGCCACTCTCTGGACTGCAACATGACTGACTGACTGCATGTGTGGTGGAAGTCCCATCCCTGGCAGCCACGCTAGCACTTTCAGAGGGCCTTCTGCAGGGAGTCCTCTGTTTAAGGCTCACCACCAGCCTGAGACTGTCCCAGGAAGTCAGGCCTCCCACACCCTGGGTGACCTGCCCTGCTCATGAAAACAGTCTGCCTCCTCCCCACGCCCAAGCCCCCCACCTCCGCCATTGTGTGTGGCCATTGCTCCAGAACAGTGCTGGTGACCAGTCAGGTCTGTCCCTACCCTGCCCCAGACTGGCCCTGCCTCACTACTCCCCATATATCTCCCATGCCCTCCAGCTGCATGTTTAATGACAGGATTCCTTGAGGGGATAGGCATTGCTGTCCTGGTCACTACATATTTTGAACACTTGCCACCTTCTCTACTAAAGACCCAGCCTGCCCTTCTCTTAATTCTAGCTCTGCTTGGTCTCTCGACCAGTCCGTGGTCCCTGACTGGCTTTTGTTCCTGTGGTCAGGACACCTGAGCCTGGTCTCCTGAGGACCAGTCCAGCCCCAACTCAGGAGCACTCACTGTGACCTACAGGGCTTCTGAAAATGTCAGGAGCATCTGAAGACCTGGGAGACCAAGGCAATGGCCACTAGACTCAAGCCCCACCTTCAGGAGACCAGATAGGGCCAAATGTCCATTCTAGGATGGTCTCTGACACCACCATTCTTCCAAGGGGCTTTCAGCAAAAGCCATGAGTGGGAAGGAGGGGCCCTTCCAACCCACTGACCTGCTCGAGGACCCTTACATAGCCAGTGAGAAGGGGCTTTCAAAATAGGCCATATCAGCCTGCTCCACTGATGACCTCGGCCAGCCCTTGGGGGGGAAAGGGAGGGAGGGAGAGGCCCAAAAAAGAAGTTGCAGAAGGAGGGCCCACCTGATTCCAGGAAGTGACTGTCAAAAACACAGTTGTATGTCAAAAACACAGCTTCAGGCAGCTCATGCTGCCACGACTAAGTACCACAAGCTGGAAGACTTGAACAACAGAAACTTATTTTTCACAGTTCTGGAGACTGGAAGTTTGAGATCAGGATGCCAGCATGGGTGGGATCTGGTGAGGGCTCCACTTCCTGGCTTGCAGATGGTGGCCTCGCTGTGTTTTCCGATGGTGAGAAAGCAAGAGAGAGAAAGCAAGCTACCTGGAGTCTCTTCTTACAAGGACGCCCATCCATGATGGAGCTCCCGCCCTCAGAACCGCATCTAAACCTAATTATCTCCTAGTACCACAACATTGAGGGTTAGGGCTTCACTGAATGAATGGTCGGGATCATATCTAACTTGCTAGGCTCACATTCCAAGCGCCTGTTATGTGCAAGTTTGGGAGACACCAGAAGTGAGATGTAGTCACCACCCTTGAGAAATTTCCAGTCACCTGCAAGCACCCAGGTCTGACAGTGTCCAGTGATACAAATACCTAGGTGCAGGGGAGGAACTACCTGAACCCGGGCAGGAGCTCGGAGAGTTGCTCCCATAAGGAGGAATGAGAGATGGGAAAAGCCAGCCCAGGGTGGCAGAGACAAGGAAGAAAGATCAATCAGATGCCTCGGTGATCATCAGTAGTGACTCAGACAGATAAAAAGATCAAGAAAGGGGCCTCCCTGGTGGTGCAAGGGGTTAAAGCACAGCACTAAGAAGTTTTCCACAGCCACTGCAGCACAAGTTAGATACCCACCAGGGAGGTGACCCACATGGCGCAGCAGACCTCTCCTGACCCACCCGCTGCTCCCCTCAGCAGTGTTTTTCAGTACATCTGTCTGTTCTGCTCCCCACTCTGGCTCTGGTGAATCCTCTTACCCCCGACATCTTTTAGTCTACACCCCAGCTTTAATGTATAAATAAATAAATCCTTAAAAAAAGAAGAAAAAAAAAGAGAACATCATAACATCCTGAGAATGCAGAGGAACAGTGGCCAGTGCTCAAGGACCTTCATCAAGGCAGACCTCCCACCTTCCTGCCACGCCATCCTCATCTCTTCTCAGCCTACCAGGATTCCCATCAAGGCAACAGGTGGGTACATGGAAGGAACCTTGGCAACAGCAGAGGGCAGCCCACACGTGGGGCGAGCGGTGTTTAGAGGAGGCTGTGTGCCCTTCTGTGGAAGTGAGGGAGGAATGGGCTAGGGAGCAGGTGTAAGGTCATCCCTGCTTGGTGAGCTGAGTGGCGAATTTTAATATCCAAAGGCTGTGGAATCATCAAAGGATTTAAACATATTTGTTTTGAAAGATCATTCTACCATAGCAAAGGAATTGGAG